TGTTGTGCAAAAGTACTACTAATATATTGTTTGTAACTATTTTTTTTACGCAATGCTATCTCAGATATATAACTTGTAGATAAAACAAGCTTTTGCTATAAGCGAATATTAGTAGTATAATTATAAAACTTTTATAAAACAATAATAGATCGCCAAAAAAGTTGGTTACATATGTTCCTGAATTCGTTTTTTTATTAATGTTAACACTTTAAATTATCCATAAATTAGTGTGTTAATGCTAATTAAAATTCAAATATACTTATATTATTATATGGTTTGGAACATATGTAACATAAGATCTTTAATGTTTATAAATAAAATATAATGATATATTTATATCTTTGTAACAACTATTTTTCTTATTATTTTAAAATAAGTAATACATAAGCAAAACATTCATTTTTAAAAATGGCAAAATATAGTAGGTTTACAGTTCCAGTTGCGAGTAAATAAGGTAAGTAGCTAAGTATTTTATAATGGAAGAATGACTAGCAAAAAAAAAAATTAATCATTTTTATGCCATAAGTAAGAACCTTGTAAGTCTAATATTTGTAGTTGTGTAACATACTTTATTTTTAACGCTAGTTTAAATTTTTTTTTATTTAACATCTTTAAGTTCTCACTTCAAGTGGTTTTTAAAATTAAAGCATTTTTATTAGCTTGCTTCGTGTATACATTACGATAAAGCTGTGTTAAGTCAATCCGTCGTTACCTATATTTTCTTTGCGCAATTATATTAAAGTAAAAGCTTATATAAATTGACTCTTAAAATTATTCACATGTATTTCTGCTCTTTTATAAAATCGCTCAATTAAAATTTTATTTTAATAAAAGTTATGTTCAGTTGGATCTTATTAAACCTGGAAACCGAAGAAAACTTTAAAAAATTTTTCTTGCTTTAACTTTACAATATAATAATGACCTTTGTACGTTCGTATGTATGTTTTTTTGTAGGGTTAATATATTAGTAACTTCCCATTTCTTATAATAACGTCCTTTATGCCACCATTTTTGACCTAGCTTAGTTTACAAGGTAGGTAACTATGTATACATTCTACTTTAGCAGGAGAAATTTGGTTACCTCTTGTTACTTTTTCTCTTCACTAACAAGTTATATAGTGTAGTAACGCAACAAGTTCAATAAGTTTTCAGGAATTGCCAGAAGGAGGTGCTATAATTGTCACCAGCCTCCAACACTTCCTCTATTTGGCAGTTTAGGTGCGCCAACAACTTTATTTTGATGTGTCGGTAAAGGCGGTTTAACACCAGCTTGCCTTCAACCCTTCAAAAGGTCATGACAACTCTAGTAAGGCGCCGACGCTCGCATACTAGCGCCTTTAGCCCCCATGAAGCTGATTAGGGCTATAAGTAACTTCACAAGTTTTTGTCACCCTTCTCTCAAAGTTGGCAACAGCATTGTTTATTAAAGCTAAAGTCTCCATAGTTGGCAGGCACGACGGGAGGTCTTCTTGAACCATATAGTCATTGCTCCAATATGTATAAGACAGGTAGAATTAATACTTACTTTCTTTTCGTGGTTCGATTCGAGAATGGCATGCAAGCAATCCGACGACAGCGTTCCTAACACTTCAATAGCCGGTAACTTACTTAATGTACTAATATAGCGCCCTAACACATAATTGCCTAAAATGGCCCTGGGCGTTCTTCCTTAACAATTGCTACTACTTATCAGTTAATATTCTGCCCGTCTGTTTCTTTGCTTAATATTTTTTCGTATTTTCTTTTAATAATAAATGGTGACGCAAAGTTAAAAAACCAAGACAAAGTAAGCTAATTATTTAGTAACTTTTAGTTCTAAACTTTAATTTCGTTTGTTCTTACGGTTAAACTAATGCAATCTAATTTATACTATAAGAAAGATGGGTAGAACCAAAACAAATTGCATTACACCAGACTGACTTACCTCTGAGTGAGTGTATAGTTTCACGGTTTATACCCACTCCCTTCTCTCTTAATATTACAACTGATAATTATATTTTACTTTTTATTGACTGAGAGTACTTTTTAACGTAATATTAGAGCACTTAAAACCTTATATAGCTAACAGAAAAAATACAATAAAAAATAAGCCTATTACTTAAATCAGGAAACCTTCCTGTTTATATTTAAAAAAAACTAAGCTGTGCACAAATAGTTAAAAAAAATTATTAATGAAGCATTAATTTAGTTTGACGTTATTAACTAAATAAGCTAACATACTTATATTTACCTTTTTGCAACTTTTGGTATATACACTGCTCTCGTTTGCTTCCTCAGTGGGCTGTTTTATTCCCACTTTTTTTAGATCTATCTTAGTATTTATTTCCCTTAATTAAAGAAGTGGATATAATTAATTACAGAACACGAAATAATAAAAATCATTTATAATTGTTAGTCTTTTATTCTTCATGCAGTTTTAAAAATGGGGACGAAGTATTAATGAAATTGGGAAAGAGTTACTTGCTTAAAGCTTGTTCTTTTTATAAAACGTTAAACACGCTATTGATGCGATGATAGGCGCGTAGTACAAAAAATACTTTTATTAACTTGTTACATATTTACACTGAGATATTGGAAAATAAATTTTATATATTTTTTTTAAGTACAACTTATATAGTTACGACTAACCCCCTATTCTCTGTAGCTTACATATTAGTTACTTATAAGTTTGACTTCCTCCTCCAGGTAAACAATATAGCGCTGTGCTTTTGGAGCAAAAATTTAACTATTATATTAAAAAGTGACCCATCATCTATATATTTTGTAAGTGCAGCTCTTGTTCTGGTGGTTAAGTAATGTATATTTGTGAAACTCTATTTTATAAGTAGGTATTTGAAGAAGCTGAAAAAATGACAGTAGTGTATATATTGAAGAAAAAGTAAATCGTGTTAGATGCTTTTTTATATATTACAAGCTTTATTTCACTTTTTCTACTTTACATCAGTCAATAGATTATTTATCTAATACAAAAGAGGCTAAATTCCGTTATTAAGCTAAAAAAATTTTTAGCCTCCCTTTTTTTCCGCCGTCTATTTCTGTAAAAATTGGGTTAACATAATTTCTTTATATTATGAAAAAGCATCAATGAATTTTCGCATTATTATCAATTTATTGCTTCATAAAGAAGTATCTAAATCCTTTTTTTCAATATAAATTTTATTGAAAACAAATTTTAAAAACCATCTTTATGAAAAAACGGAGAGCTAAAATATTTTATTAACCAAAAATTGTAAAATATTCTAATAAAGGCTATATTATTTTAAAAACTTAATTGAAAAAATTTTGGGGCTTTTTAACTTTCGGCCTTTTCTGCTTTATATTGGTAGTTAAACGCAAAGCTGTTTGTACGGCTGGCCGGTCGACTCTAGGATAAAATTGCAGTTTTCATCTTCGCCAATAAGCTAGAGCTCTAATAAATATTCCCTCAAAGTAAATATAAAGAACAATCCAAAATAAATTAAATTTATAGCTAAATTTTAAAAGTAAAAATCTTTTTTTTTTATGGTCGCATTTCCACGAAGTCGGAGAAAATAATATTTAATAAATGATTAAAGTTAGGATAAACGAGTTAAATTTTTAGTAAGAAAGAAAAAAAAAAAAATTGAGGGTACCCGTTAAGTGTGGAGTGCGGTGAGGCACACACAGCTCATTATCCCGGCTGCATGCGTTACCGCAGAGGTCTATTAGGTTTGATCACGAGCGGTGCTACCCGCATATATTAAGTTTTTCTTTTACTATTGTAACTCTGACGATTCCGCTAAGCACAATTAAGCATTAAAAAGAAAAGGTTTTTTTTATTTACTATAAAAAATTAAATATTTTATAAGTAAAAAATAAAAAAGTAATTTTAAAATTTTTATAAAGTTTAATTGTGGCTTTGGTTTTCCTCTTCTGTGGAAAAGCATGAGTCAGGCTCTTTTTAAGGGAAAAGAATCAATATATTGCACTTGCGGCACCAAGAAGATCAAAACTCGAAAGTAATGCTAGTACGATAGCATTTTAACTATTGCTAAGGATGTTATTGACTATTACTTGTAAATCACGATGGACTTTTCTCCAACTACTATCTTTTACTGTGGAAATAGTAGCATTAAAGGAATTCCTCATTACTATAAAGCTTTATTCCTCCATTTTATATTATGTTATAAAGTTACTCTCTCAAGGCTGACTTTAAAATTCTACTTCGGTGGAACCAACTAACTAATACTCTTGAAGTGCTAGCTAGCTATTCAGCCACCACGTAACTCTTTCATTATTTTTTTACACGTTAAGTAAAAAAATCGGAGTTTTTATAGTAATGGTTTTTTTACAGACTTGATAATTTCAAAAATTTATATATTTTAAACGAATCGAGAGTAATATGTTAACTTTTATAACAAAAAAATACAATATGGAGTTAAAATTAAGAAGAGCTGTATAATTTATTTGATTGCTCTCGAGTCGCCTGAGTAGCACCTCGCTTACCATCTAACAAAGGCTGAAACAACAAAACGCCAAAAAAAATAAGACGCAACGCTCACGGCTCCATTACGTATAAATATAGTGAAAATTGGTGTTAATTATTAAACTTATTTGAACTAAAAAAAATATATCTATATAAATACTAGTTTTATTTGGTGTTGAAAGAGGTTGGACTAATTTATCAAAGTTACTTTTAATAAAAGATGTATATTCATATTTTTACTAGTTTCCTTTAGTATTGTAAAGCTAAATTCATTATTATTAGTTTTTTATATTATAAATAACAGTTAATTTGTAAGTGGATATCTATTAATTATTATTTGCTATTCATTAAGTATATTTTTAGCCCTGAAAGGCATACTAACTTAAAAGTTTTCTCTTTTAATTTCTGCGATGATTATAGTAAAAACTAAAAACTTTTGCGCTTTCACTTTTTATATATAATATTGTAAAGCGAACTATTATTTATTAACAAGTCAGTTGTGCTTTTCAATATCCGCTAATTACAATCAAGCAAGTCACGGGTGTGGATGCTCGTGACTTTGTTTTTATGCGTACAAAAAGAATTCGAAAAGTTAATAACATAACCATAATAAGTTCTTGAACAGCAGAGAAATGTTTCATTTATAAGGTGAATGTCCCTTTTTTATTAAAAAAAGAAATATAAATATTTTTTATTAGAAAAATTTTAATATGGAAATAAAAAAAATAATAATGACAAACTATTGATATTATATTAACGTAATATTTTTTAATAAAACTTTAAATATAAATTTTAAATAAAAATAATTTAGTAGAAAACTTTTAATATAAAAATAAACAATAAATAATTATTACAAAACTTTTAATAAAAAAAGATTTTTAAAATGTAATTAAAAACCAAAAGTAAAAAAAAATTATATAAAAAAGCATTATTAAATAAAATTATAAAGTAAAAAAAATTTAAGAAATAAATATAAAAAAAAGTAAATTTTCCTATATAAAATATTTATAAAAAATTTATAATAAAAATAATACAAAAATTCCAATAAATTTTTTAAAATAAATTATAAACAAATTGTATAAATTATATACAAAATTTTAAAATTAAAAAAAAATAAAAATTTATAAATATTTACTATAAAATAATATACAAAATGTTAAATAAAATTTTAAAAGTAGAAAATTTTATATAAGAAAATATAATTTAAATTTATAAAAAAAATTACAAATACATTTAATAAATTTCAAAAGTAAAAAAAAAATAAAAAATGTATAAAAAAATTAGAAAAAATTTATAATTATAATATTGAAAAGATTTTTAATAGTAATAATATTAGGAAAAAAAATAATAAATTTTCTAGTAAAAAAAAAATTATAAGAAAATTTAAATAAAAATATACAAAATTATAAAAAACTTTATAGGAATAAAAATTAAGAAAAATTAGTTTATAAAAAAAATATACAAAAATATTAATTAAAAAAATTCAAAAATTTTATAGTAAAATAATAATAAACAAAAATATTAAATAAAATTTACAAAAAATAAAATATTAAAAATTTATAGTAAAAAAAATTAAAATATAATTAAAAAAATATATTTAAAATTTTTAATAAAATTCTTATAATAAAAAATTTTAAAAATAAAAATAAAATCATAAACAATTTATATATAAAAAATATTTAATATAAAATAAAATAAAAATTAATAAAATTTTATATTAAAAAAAAAAAGTTTACTAAACTATTAAGTAATATATACATATATATACAAGGTTGAAAAATTGAAAGACGGATAAAAGGCGTACGGGCCGATTTCTCTAATAGGATTCCCTTGTAAAACTCTAGGTAATTTTAAGAATAATAATAAATTTTTAGAAAAAATAATAATTAAAAAAAGAAAGAAAAATAAAAAATTTTTATATATAGAAGTTAAAAGTTTATATAATAAATAAATAAATAAAAATAAAAAAATGGTAATAATAAAAATTTTCTCTAAAGAAAAAAAGTTTTTATGAAAAATTTTATAAAAAATTATATTATTTTTAAATAAAAAAATTCATTCAAGTTGATTAAAAAAAATTTCAAAAATGGGGAAAGAAAAATAAAATTTATATAAAAATAATAAAAATTTGCATAAAAGTAAAAAAAAGTCTTTAATTATAAAAATGTTAATATAAAAATTAACTGATGAACAAAATATATTTAGAAATAATAATAATTATATAAAAATTTATATAGTTAATTATATTTCTCTAGAAATTTACTATAAATAAATTTTTTTTTAATATAGTAAAAAAAAATTATGAGTGAAAAAATTAATTTTTACTTAAAATTTTCTTCCTTTATCAAATTTATATATAAATTTTTTTAGCATAAAATTTATATATAGAAAAAAAATATTTAGATAATAAAAGTGCATAAATTTTCTTATAAAATTTATATAATAATTTATATATAAAAATATAATAAAAGAATAAAATTTTTTGTATAAGAGAAACTTTTATGCTTTAAAAAATATTTAGAAAAATATAATAAACATTTACTAAATATTTGCTATTAAAAAAAAATATTTAATATTTATATAAAAAAAATAAATTTATAAAAAATTTAATAAACATTTACTAAATATTTACTAAAAAAATTTATATAAATATTATGGTAAAAAAAACATTTATAAATATTATTAAAAACTTTTACAAATATTTTCTATTAAAGAAAAAATATGTTAATATATATAAAAATAATTTAAAAAAAAAATCTATAAAAAAAATATAAATAAGAAGTAAAAAAAAATTTACAAGCTTTTTAAGAAGTGCAAATGGAAGAACGCACGTGAAGAGATTTTATCCAGCAAATTATTATGGAGATTTCTATAAAATAAATATAAAAATTTAAAATAAATTAATAAATTATAAATTTTTAATCTTTTCTTTAAAAATATAAAATATTATAAATAATTTTTTTTAATTTTTAAATTTTTATTATGTAAAATTTATTTAAGTATAAAAAAATATATCTTTTTATGTATAAAATTTATATGTTTTTTTCTAATTTAGAAATCAACTAAAAAAAGTATTTAAATATATTTTTATTATATAAAATTTATAGAAAAAAAATTTTTATATAAAAAAATAAAAAACTAGAAATTTTTTTTTAATATAATGAAAAACTAAAAAAATGTAAAAGTATATATTTTTAATAAAATTTATAGAAATATTTTTTAATATAAAATTCATAACAAAAATTTTTAATACAAAAAAAAAATTTTTTTATAATAAGTTTACTAATAAAACTTCAAATGATGTTTTATTAAATTATTATTATTATTTTCAAAAAAAAAAGCTTAACAAAGCCGTTAAATTCGAAAGACTGCTAAAAGTGTGTT